CTCTAACAGATACCTAAAATGTGGAAGCGGTTTTAAAACTGTGAATGGATAGACGTGCGGCAGTGACAGAGGACCAGCAGCAGCAGACAGGGGAACCTCATACCATCAAGAAAGCAGTGCCGGGAGCAGATCGCGTCCTTTGGACCAGGGTCCCTGCGCAGAGAAGCTCCTAGTCCAGGGGAACGCTGAAGAGAAGAAGGCCAACAGAAAAAGCCTTCCCCTGGAGCTGATGCCCTCAGTTGGGACTTTTAGCCTACTTTACTCTAAGGAAATAAATTTCTCTTTGTTAAAGCCATCCACTTGTGGTATTTCTGTTGTAGCAGCACTAGATGACTAAGCAACGGGTTAGCCACTTTTGGGGCACCAAGGGTCTATATTTGTTGAAGTTATACATATTTATTCAGTAATATCTTGGTTATCTGACATGGTCAAATATGAGTCACTTGGGAGAAGCTGAATCTCTAGATAAGTGAAATACTATCACTGATAATACAGCTCAGGATTTTTTGCTTAACTTTTATTAAATATACTTTATTGCTAGTATTTCACACTATTATTCATTAATAGAAAATCTACCCATGACCTAGTCATTTCAATTAAAATACTTAAAGAACTTTTTTTCATGTTCCTCTACTGTCCTTTTTTATCTCATAACTTTTATAGCCCAAATTAGTTTGTAGCTTCACTTTTGTAGTCTGCTTCTCTCGGCATCATCATAAGCATTTTCCCACGTTGGTTAATGGTTTTGTATCTTTTTATGTATTTGTCTGTATAATACAGATTTTACAGACACTACTCGTGAATCAAAACATAATAATTGAATATATTTGGCCACTGAATCAATGAATCTTAGGGCTAATTTGTGTCTGACACTTCTTGCCTATTTCCACTGCCAGTAATCATCACAGATGCTTTTAAAAAAAATCCTTACTTCCAAGGCCATCAGTCTTCTGATGCTCGAGGTTGCCAGAATTCTGGTCTCCGGATAATTAATCTCTTACTATACTACAAAAAAAAAATACCAAATTTGAAGCTAGGGGAAGACTCCCAGCAAAAAAAAAAAAAGTATAACCATCTTCTGCTTTACTTAAGTCAACTAGCTTCACTCCAGTACTATGCAACATTATCAAATTACATTATGACCCTAAACTATTAGGACAAATCTTTATTTACCCTTGTTTAATAGATATAGTCTTCTACCTAAAAAAAAAAAGGGCTATGTTTGAGATTTAAGATGTAACTCCGTTCCCAGAAGAATTTCTGAAAGTCGTTTGAATAAAAAAAATTAAGTCCTCCCAGAAAGATTCCTTAATGTCATTTTCCTAATAGGCAGTCTTTGAATACAGATTTTTCAAATTTTTAAGTCTAGTGCTTAGAGAAATGAAAACAAACCAAAAAAAAAGCAGAAGAGGGCACTGAAAAGATGTCCTGGGCTCTAGTCCAGTTCTGCCACAAACTAGTTCCAAAAACTGAGTAAATCAATTTCTTTGGGCTACAGTTTTTCTTAACTGTAAAAAAAAAAAAAAAGTCACTATATTAAGTGGTCTACATAATCCTTTATTTATGAATCTAAAGTGCTGTGATTCCAGATGCAATCAGGGTGCTCTTTTGGAAATGTCACTATTACTTTAACAGTCAAGTTTAGAATTACAAATTACATGTTTTCCCTTTCCTGTTTTCTCATCTCCTCTCCCCTTAAAATACACATATTGTCATTGTGTGCCAGCAAGTCATTCTGACTCATACAAAAAAAACCAAACTCATTGCCATCGAGTCAATTCCGACTCATAGCAACCTACAGGACAGCATAGAACTGTCCCATAGGGTTACCAAGAAGCACCTGGTGGATTCAAACTGCCGACCTTTTGGCATAGCTCTTAAGCACTGTACCACCAGCGCTCCTGTCATGGATCGAATTATGTCCCCCAAAAAATGTGTGTTATCAATGTGTCTGGGTCATGATTCCCAGTATTGTATGACTGTGTACCATTTTGTAATCTGATGTGATTTCCTTATGTGTTGTAAGCTCTATCACTATGATGTAATAAGATGGATTAGTGGCAGTTATACAGATGAGGTCTACAAGATTAGATAGTGTCTTAAGCCAATCTCTTTTGAGATATAAAAGAGAGAAGAGAGCAGAGACACATGGGAACCTCATACCATCAAGAAAGCAATGC